CCATGTGATTGGCTGCTTAGAAATTAAGTGTTAACGAGCAGTTGGACAGGTGTACCTAATAAAGTGGACGGTGAGTGTATTTAAGCTGGAAAATTCATGCATTGTTTTTTTTTATTTCTCAAACAGCCTGGTTGCTTTAATAATACTTACTAAAAATATTTTCATCTGTCACAGATCATATAGAAAAGTCCTTTAAGTCAAACTACTTTTTTCTATATTTTTGAAGATGTTTGAAGAATTCACTGGAATGTAATTACTTTCAGCTAATTATTCCTCAACTAGGACTAAACCCTGATCAAGAACACCTTTTTAGCTCTTAGATCCCTGATAATGTTCATTATGAGGGATAATTACAAATATTTTGAGAATGCGATAATATTACAGTAATGGAGTTTCCGTAGACTGCACACAGGGTACCTGCATTTGAATCCCAGTTGTTTTGGGTTAACACTTTGCCAAGTCTGACAAGCAAGTATAAATGACTTGCTGTGGCGAACCCTGAGTAAGAGATCAGCTGAAAGGACACAAACAATAATATCACAGACATCTGTGGAAAAGTAAAAAGGATCATCAATCATAGACCGAAAGAATGTTTATCAGTCTATTTCAGCAAATGGAAACTATGGACCCAGACTTCCTGCTTTCCTTATAAAAATGGATTGATAGGTTAAGGCCTAAAAGTCAGCTGTTAAAAGTTTGCTGTTCCCTGCTAGATAGAGAACAACAGCTTGAATTTATTCAATAAAATGAATTCTTAAGTGACAGGCTTTCATGGTGGAAAAATAAGACTAAAATTTAGCCACAGAAATGTCTGCAGCGTTGGAATAACCACGTCTCCACTTTCGGTCCACATCCACAGCATGTTTGTCCATTTCTTAATGGGAACCAGGGCCATTTCTGTGGTATGTACGTACCCCTACAGGTGAGCTTACCACAATGTTCAAACTTTTTTTTTTTTTACTTGCATAACACTATGACATCATGTTTACTAACAACAAAAATATTTGCATTAATTTTTATACTTAATTCATAATTTGTACTTACTTATACCACATTAAAAGTAAAATATTCTTGAAGGTCATGTTACATCACGGGATTAAGGTATTCAGGGGAAAAGCTTTAGTGACACAGTCTTGGTTAGGAACAAGCAGGGAGAACATAACCAGAACTGAAGCAGATCGCAAACCTAAAATATTGACACAATAAAAGCCATGAAATTAGGGCATTAATTGGAGAAACATACAAGAAATCTGTGGTAATTTGCAACAGCTGCAGAGATCCACAACTTTAATAGAAGAAACCATTGAAAGGACTATCATTTATTGTATAGTCACACACTAGAGGAAAAGCAGCTAGAAAAAGTCTAAATGGACACTTCCTTAAGGTAATATTCTGGTTTGCCATAGTCAATGTAAGAGAGGCTGCAAACGTATTGAATGAGGTGGTCTTATTAAATGATTCCACAATCCAGCTTTCTACTTCACACGAAAACTGCCATATGTGGAGAACTCACTCCACATCACCCAGAATGGACAAACCCAACAGTGAAACAGGGTGGTGGCACTATCATGCTGTGGTGCAGTTTTGTGTTGTTGTTTTTTTCAAGATAAAAAAGGCATTCAGATGGTTATTCATTTGTCAAAAATATATTTTTTAAATGTCTTTTTTTCTTTTAATCTCCCAATTATTCCTCTCTCTGTGTTGGTCTATCACATAAAATTCCAATAAGTATTTTGAAGTTTGTGGTTATAAAGTGGTAAAATAGGTAAGGCAGAAAATGTTATCATTTGTGGTATGAAGTATTTGACCAAATGCCTCACTGAGGTGAAAGACGATGTGTTAAAAAGGGCTTAGAATTGTTCACATATTGTTGTACAATATTAGATGTAAGTGTACCCCGAAGCTAAACCATGACAGACAGTTATATAAGCCTCTAAAATCCTGTGGGTCTGCCCAGCTTGATGTGTTTGGGGCTGATGATTGCTTTCAGTTGTTCAGCCTCAGTGGAGGAAAAGAGAGCTGAAACAGAGACCTTTGCATATTTTCCTATCTAAAACCCATTCAGAAATAAGAAAAACAATCTAATGTAGTCACATCAGGGGTATGGAAGAGAACAGATTAGATCCCCCTTTTTCCAGGAGAGGAGGTTGATAGTGGTGGTTAGGAATGTCAGCATCTGTGTCGAGATATTTTCTGTTTTATAGCTGCTTTTGCTGAGAAGCCATTTAATCCTGTGGTGAGAGCACAAAAAGTCTGGGCTGCATTCTCAGTCTCTCTACCTCATGTCTGTCCACGTGGGCAGGAGTTACCAAACCAGGCATAGTATCTAAATGTAGTTTATAAAATTAAAGCATGATTCTGATTTATTTGAGGTTATTCTTAGACCATTTATGTTTCTGTTGTATTCTGTTTTTATTGCTCGGGAATTTTTTTATGAGTTCTATGACAGGAAGGACAGTATTTGGTTACTCTATAAATACCCAAAGCAAAGACAGGGTTCCCCTGCTCTGTAGGAAGAGAACAGGATATAATTACTGACCCTGTAATTGCTTTGTGAATAAACTTTGGTGACATGACCCTTTGGAGGGATGACGTGATAAAAGAGATACATGGCAGACATTTCCCACATTAAAAAATCATGTAAATTGAAGTTGTGGGCTGTGAAATGCTCTACATTAAGGTTAATCTTGTGCTGGATGAGAGAGGGAAGTGTGTGTGGCAGATGTACAGGGTAGATAGGATCAGGAATGCTGTGTGGTGACCTTGTGGCTCTATCTTAAATAGAAGTCATTAAAATATGGAAATTATAAATATTGTTGCCTGTAACTCTTTCTGAAAAATTACCTCTTTGTTAATTAGTACACATCTGATAAATGTGATCCAGAGTTGTTGGATGTGTGGCTTTTTTATTACGGTAAATATAACTGAATTTTTCTTTTTTTTTTTTACTTGATTGTGTTAGCATAACCACTCTATGTTTAAAAAAATAATAATCCAAGGACAAAAGTTAGAATGCTTTTCCCTTTTGGGACACAACAAATTCTCCCCCAAGAGGAACACGTTGTCCCTGACCCAGGTGTTTTATTTGAGAGAAACGCCTTCTACTCTGTAACTCTACTTCTGGGTTCTGTTTTGGGAAGTCAGCAGATTGTTGTTAGTTGTTGAACACATCTAGTGCTCTTTTAAAATGTTGTCTTTCTATCATATTGTTGCCTCTTTCTGTCCAGTTTCTTTATTGTGCTTTCATTTCTTTTGTAATAGGCTCAATATTCATTCTGTCAATATTTTGTTGAAGATACTATTGCAAAAATTATACTTATCATACTGATTTCAATGTCCAACAGTTTCCGGCTATTTCCACAATATCCCCACAATATACAGCGAAGGCAATAGGGGAAGCTCCAGTCCATTCAAGTGTATGCATATTTAATTAATATGCACGTAAATAGCCAAATATTTTACTCGGGTAAGAATAGCAATTTTTACAATGATATTACTCAAGTCACCTTTTAGTTACAGTACCACTACTCTTAAAAGGTCTTTTTCCCCAATGTGTGCATCTGCTGGATCTATTTCAGCCATTTTAGTTACTTAACCGTATTGCTTAATGTCTTAACCCAGTTACATGAGCAGGAGTGTTAAAGCAACTAAAGATGCTAAAAACAGATCCAATAAAGTCCTAAGTTTGTTTATGTAATTATATATATA